GAACTTAACCCTGTGATCCACTCGGCCAAGCTTTCGTAGGTATGGAAGTGCTCAAGGGATTTTCAAAATTATTTAAGCAGCTGCCTGCCAAATTCTAGTAAGCATCAGGCTTGATCTTGCATTTGAACACCCTGTTGGATTAAAAGTGCTGATTCTGTGCGAGCGCCTCAGTTTCTTTAGAAATATGGTATTATGTAGATTTTCCACACTTTTTTTTTCATGTAAGGGATCAAAGAGGGTTGAGAAAAACCTGAGTTGAGGTTTCTTAGCTGTGAAGTATCTAGTTCAAGTAAGGAAACTGTCCCTGTGACTGGGAGCTATCCTAAACTCCAAACAAGACCTGTTCTTGCACAGTAGGACCTGGAAGTACTGGTGGTACAAATACGTCAGTACATGTACTCTGCTCGTTGTGTGGAGTGAATGCCGGTAACTCCTGGAGTCCCAACCACCACCTGGACTGGTGCTGGGAGCTAAAGGCTTCTCTGCCTTTTAGACAGAATTGTGAAATACTGTCCTTTACCTCATTAAAGCTAGATTGATGCCAAAGATCTACGACCTTATTTTTAAGTAGTAAGTTTAGGCGTAACAATGTGCCTTAATTCAAAATTTCATATTAGGTTGGCCACTTTAGTGCTTTTATTCTGCAAGGACTTCATCCAGCTTCCATTATTGCTAAATATTTGTAAGGAGTATGTGACGAGTTCCTCTGCAGCTACTCCATACATAAATCCAAAACATTTTGCCAAATTTGTTTCCATAGAGCGAGGCAGAAGACTGGTAGCAGTGCTCAAAACCTTTATACTTTCCTGTAGTTTTTTGAAATTAATTTGTTATGTGTTAATATCTGCAGGTTTTAGGTAGGAAAGGGAGTTAAATGCTCAATTTGTAGTTGTACTCACTGCTAACCAGTATTTTGGACAGGGTTGTCCTCGGAGCTTTTTCAATGTTGAACTGCACAATCTCTTAATAAGCATGAAATGTTGGCTCATTGTATGGTCGGCATAAGTGAGCGCTTCCCGTTTTGACAACAGGATGAGGTCACTGCGCCCTGCTGGGCAGAGGGGCAGTGGGTGATGTTAACCGTGGCACTTCCCACATCGCAGCTATCCCGTGAACAAAGACTGACACCTGAGAAAAAGGTGTTAAATAAGGTAACTTCACTTTGGGTTTTCAAAAACGGCCGTGGACCTCCTGCAGGGAACGACGTTTTGCTTCGCAGCAGCCAGCGCTTGGTCTCGGAGCTCAGAGCTTGGTGTTGCCGGCGTGGCAGCAGTGAGCGGAGTGAGGCTGCCTCTAAACCCCTGAAGGCCCTTTTAACTTCCATTGGGTCCCAGGGTTGTATTTTACACTGATACTGGCTCTTTTATTATTTCTTTATGCTTCCAAACGTATCTTTTTGTCTTCTAAACCCAAGTTGACTCTAAAAGTCAATGTGGTAGCTCAGGCTTTTGTTCAGGACACTGGCTCTGCTAATTACGGCATGGCAGAGGCTGTGCAGAGGGTCAGGACTTGGGTCTTGGGTGTTCACCCAGATACCTGTGAAGAGGCAGAGGCTGTCACCTGCTGGAGAGAATTGGCTTGCCTGGGATTTTGTCTCTCTTGGTCATTGCAGCCACTGACCGCAGCTTCTCTGGCAGCAGCAGCACCTGGCTGGGGAAGGAGGTGCAGAGTTCTGCTCTCCTGAGGCCTTGTGGCAGGACACAGTGCCAAGTGGGTGTCCTAAACCTCCTTTAAATGTGCAAGAGCATCAGACTGGGTCACATAATGCAAAGCGGATGGAGCTAGTCCCTGCAAACACAACCAGTGCTGGGAAACGGCTGTCTGAATTTGAGGGGAGGGGAATTATCCTCCTCAACAAAACAGTCATGGATTACTTTTTTAAGGCTGGCTTCAATGACAGGATAATGCATAATGCTTGTCTAGCTCTTTGAGAATATAGTGTTAAATAAACATGAGCTAATCTTTGCAAGAATGCGTCCTGAGCTGGCTCTGCCTCTCCTGCAGCAGCTGCTGGCGAAGCCTGCTCCTCGGCCCCTGCCTTTCCTGCTCATTAGCAAAAATATGGCTCTACCGTGGTTGTTTCATCTATCTCTGATTTATTAACGCTGAGGGTATTGACTGAGAAGGGGGGTTGCCTTACAGGAGCATTGAAACTTCTCAAGAATAATAAAACATGAGAAAGAGCACTGCTGTTTCAAACCTGAGTGCCGCTTAATGCCAGCTAACAGAGCGATGTATCAGGCTTGGAGCTTTGCCGTGGCCAAAGCAGCTCTGGCTCTACGTGCCTGCTCGCTCCTCTCTCCTCGTTTTTGCCCTCTCTGAGCTTTTGCCAAGCAGTTCTGGCCTACAAACAATTGATTTGCCCCTGCTTCGTGATCTTGTGGTGGGTCACCACTCTGAAACGGTTCAGAAAAAAAGTGAGGGTTGGAGGTGTGCAAGGTGGGACTGGGATCCGCACCGCTCTGCATCAGCTCCTTTAATCAGCAGTGGTGTGGGTCAGATCAGCCACAGCAAGTGAACGTGCTCTTTCTTGGGCTCCGTAGAGTACAGCTGAGGCATGTTAAAAGGTCACCAGGGGCTGGTGGTGGGGAGCGTGCTCGCTGCCGCAACGGGGGATGGCATCAAAATCCAGTCTATGGCATCAAAATCCAGTCTCGGAGGGCTTGAGCCAGCTTTAGGAGTGCAAAATTAGTTTTAAAAGCAGTATGGAGTACTGGTTTTGTGGGTTTTCTAGGTGCTCCAGTTGTTTTGAAACTAGTATTTGGACTGACTGTGAAAGCTGCTTGGTAAATCTGCAGCCACAGTCCTAGAATAGGCTGTGAAAGAGCTGTGGTTCTTTTCAAGGACTTCTTTGGAGAAGAACAAGTGATCCATATTGATGTATGGATCCCCTCAAATGCCCTTCTCAGGGAAATACATAGGACTGGTCACTGGGAGGAAAGCTGTGTCTGGGAAGGATCCCTTGCTGGAAGAAACCCACCCCATTTCGTCTTTCTCAAGAGCTGCAGGAAAACTATCCTTGGACCTCTGCTTCATTGAAGCGTTTTCCCATTCTTTCTGCCTGCATGGGAGAAGGGCCAGCAAAGATTTCTTGGGATAATAGTGGACCTTCATTGTGTCCTTTCTCCTGTTGATATATTGGCTGTTTGATGTGTTCCAGGTTGCACACAAGCTGGTGCTAGAGTTCTCCTTCCTCCCTGGGAGATCTGGGCAGATGCAGCGTAGGGGCTTTATGCTACTGTCTGAGAGGACGGAGGGGTGGGAGCTTGCGTGCTGTAGCTGGCGTGCTGCAGGGAGTGCGCCAAAGTCAAGGGTGAACGTTGTTCTCGTTAGCAGTGCTAATTACCTCTCTTTCGGCACTGATGTTGAGTTCCAAGGACGCTGGCATCTGGGGCTCTCTGGATATCATCATGTTGTGCTAAGTGGGAGTTGCTCTCTACCAGTTCATCCAGGGGAACTGCAGGAAAAAGCTGGCTTGTGTACCTTAAAAGAGAAATTCAGAGATGGAATGTGGATTTTATGGCTTAACCTGTTTTTTTCTTAGGGGTACAGTGGAAGGGGATGTTGCCAAATTTTTAGGAGAGCGATTGGCACGCAGTTGGGTGCTGTCAAAACATGTCGAACTGGGATCGTTGCTGTGCCTACTCCTTTTGTGCGTCTGTGCCCGTTACAGAGTGTGTTACGGAGATGATGCAATTTTCACACTGAAACTGCTCAAGTGGCATATCCAGTCCAGTGGGGAGTGTGGTTCAATCTGTTCCTTCTCGAGTCTCTGAGCTTCAGAGCAAGAGCATGGAAGAGCTGAGCATCCCTCTAACAGGAGGGCGCACGCAAGCGCTGCTGCGTGCAGCTCTTCCTTATAACTCAGCATTTCAAAACCAAGATTTGAGCCTCTTAAAATTGGGAAAAGAAAGCAAAACCAAAACCAGATGACTTTTTAAATGAAAGGTGTTTTTTTTTCTTTGCATCCTGGTCTGGTTCTTTGTCCTGAGACTAGGAGGGCTGGAGTGAGACAGACAAAAGCTGTGGATGGAGAACTGCAGGTGGCCCGGGAAAGGGAACACAGTCCTGCAGCTCCCCTGTCTCTGCCTTGTTTGCTCTGTGTGCACAGTTTCCACGTGGGGCTTTGTCCCACCTAAAGCCTGTTCTCAAGATCTGTTCTTCATTCCTGCGTCTGCATTGCAAATGCTTTTACAACCACTTAGTTATTGCTGGCTTCTTTCCCTCTGGTACCTTGTTAAAAAAGGCTGAAGGCATTGGAGTAAGTGTCCTGTACGTGGTTAGCAGGATTGTGGCCGTACTACGGGGAAAGAAAAGGGTATCTTGGGATTTCTGTGTTTGAACGCTCTCTGCTGGGCTGGAAAGCCAGCTCTCGTGGAGTTGTAGCACAGAGGAATGAGGGGAAATGAAACTGGATCTCATTTCAGCAGCATAAGTTAAACACAAATAGCATTTTAAAGAATTTGAACCCCCTGCGTACGTACTAACTGGAGATGACAGGATTGTGTAAGAGGACTTTATAAATGTTCTTCTAGCAGTGCTTCCTTTTTAAGCTCTTTGTTCAATTTTGTTTTAACAAAACGTTGGTCCTGCATAGATGTTTGAAGAGCTCCATGCATCACAAGGTACGCTTGGCACATCGTTGGCTTATTTAACGCAGCATCTTGAGCTCTTTTTGGAAGTGGTTGGTGCCACGTGTTCCTTCGCACGCAGCATCGCTGGACTGCGCTGGCAGGGAGCGGGGTGGGTACGGATTCAGGGCTGGCGGGGAGGGTCTGGCAGCGGTGTGAGCTGTGCTTATCCTGCGGACAGCAGGGCTTCGAGTTGCTTCTTAAGTTCATGTTGCCATGATTTGCTTCATCTCTCTTGAAAACTCATTCTGCTAGGAAAAAACAACTTTACTGACACCGAGAACCTTCTGCTGCCTTGGCACAGGTGCCCGGCTGAAGCTGAGAGTCCGAATCTGAGCTTCGTGGTTCTCAATGTGCTTTCTTTTCTTGCAGGCGTGAATGACAGAGGAGGTGCCCCCGACTGCACTTACGGACGTAAACCTGCGTCTGCTCTGCCACGATGACATAGACACAGTGAAACAGCTCTGTGGCGACTGGTTCCCAATCGAGTACGTTACCAGTTTAGGGTGTGAGGTGGCGGGGAGCTAGAAACAAATGGCGTGAACCTGCGCTGGTGCAGTTCAGAGCTGGCACCAAAAGCTCTGCAGCCATCTGGGCTGTGCTGAGACAGGTTCTGATTCCTTTATGCGCTGTGGTGGTGGTCCTGTTAATGGTCCTTTGCTGCAGGGTCCTATAGTCATCAGAAAGTTCCTGTAGGCAGATTTGGGCAGAAAAATGGGCTTTGTAATTAAGGGGGTGAATCAGCTTCTTGGGAAAGACTGTATATGAGATGGGGAAAGGAGCACACCTCCAGGAAAAAAGGATAGCATCCCTGTGCTTGTGAAAGAAAGTTGTGTTCTGGAGCGTGTGCCGAGAAGGCACCCTCAGAGCTGAACCAAACCAGCATGGAGCAACTGTTCCCAAGGGACTGTCCTTCCGAATGTGCCAGGAGGAGACCGAACAGTACTTGCCTGTGTACTCAGGATCACTGTTGCTCCCAAAGTTCTGGCAAAAGATCTGGCTTAAAGCTGATCTCGGTCTGTTTCCCAGACCCCTGTTTGGTAAATGCTTGTGTCTGCACAAGGAGACACAAGCACAAGGGAATAAGGAGTTTTTCTGGGGGACAGTGGTAGTTTTCTGGCTTAAAAGCATCCAGGAAAACTACAGCTGTAGACTTCAAGGATTCCTTAGCTTTGTTGAGAAGGCTTACAGAGAATTTTAGCGGATTATTATTAAGATTGCATAAAATGTAACAAACCAGGAAAAGCATTCATAATATTTTGAATTTGTAGATTCCTTTTAAGCACAAGGCATGCTGAACTCTCACTTGGAAATAAATTAGTGTACGCTAGTTTCACTTTAGTAGCTGCAGAAGGGGGAGGAGAGCTGGAGGCTACTGATGTGATTTTTTTGTACCAATATGTGGTATTTTTTTCACATGTGTATCAAATTAATGAGATTCTTATGCTCTTAGATGAGGGCAGATGGATCTTGCATTTAAAAATAACTTGCTAAAGATGGAAGTGAGAGCTCTGGGCAAAAAATGTAAAATGAAAACGTGGTTGTCTTAGCAAGGCAGGAGGCCATTACACGAGCAGCCTGCGTTGCTGCTTGGATGTAATTGAAAGCAGCACGCTACCAAATGGGGTACAGCAGCTGTTTGATGTTCGTTGGTACCATACGACAGTTAAGACAGGAAAGGTGAATAACTTCCTAACCCAGATTTCGTGGAATAAGCTAAATTAGTAGCACAGAAAGAGCTTTAGACTGACATATGGCTGAGCTGCTTGGCTGTATGTCTTTGCAGAAGACAGCCCTTTCAGTAGGGCAGCTGCCCTCCCTTAGGCTTATGTAAAATACATCGGCCTGCAGCTCCAGCGACTGGCATTTGGAGGTGTTGCTGCCCATTTCTAGCTGAGCAGCGTCTTGGCTCTGTGTCCCCAACACTCCTGTTTTTACTTCCTTGCCAGGTACCCTGACTCATGGTACCGAGATATCACTTCCAACAAGAAGTTCTTTTCCCTCGCAGCCACGTACAGAGGCTCCATCGTGGGAATGATAGTGGCAGAGATCAAGAGCAGAACAAAGGTGCATAAAGAGGTATGCTGCTAAACTGTGCTTGGTTAACTGGGATGGGACCTGTTTGGGGATGTTTTCCCCCCCTCTATCCAGACACTTTTAAGAGCAATCCTGAGTTAGCTTAAGAAACGAAGAACATGCTGATTTCCAGCTAATGGAGCACGGGTGGTGGGATGTATCTGAACACGTGGGCTGCTGAGCTGGTACCACAGAGTCTCTTCCTGCTGGGGCTAGGCAGCTGTGGCCCGATGGGAAGCTTCCTGCCTGATGTGCTGTGCAGAGACATCAGATCATGAAGGCATGATCCAAAAGTGACTGTGTGGCAGCCCGTTTTCAGCGTGCCTGGTCATCGCTGGTGACTGAGGTATGCGAAGCTGTGGGAGAACGAACCTTTCTTATGCAAGGCTTGAACTTCCCTGGCTGTACTGGGCGAGTCACTCCTGTGACTTCCTGCAGAAAACTTCTTCGTTAACACAGTCACTGTCTTGAACACAAAACAGAGGTAACCAGTCTGCAGAAGGCTCGGGCTTCAGGGATAACAGAGCTTGGAGGCCAGGAGAGACAACACAGTACAGCAAAGAGGTGCAGAAGAGATGGTCACTGAAGACAGTATGGGAGAAGACCACTGGGTTAGTGTAGGG